ATGCACGTTAATTTCACGGCCTGAATGTAACTACCGCGGTTGGCGATAAACGATTGCTAAACATACTATATTTTCTAGAACAATTGCAATATAATGTACTTAGTGACGTTTTGAAATGTAGATAGATATATTAGACAAGACTGTTATTGTTTCAATTTTTCACGTAAATTTTGGAATTATTTTAACAAGCAAAAGAAAAAACTTTAGACCAGGGTCGATAAATTTTGAAACAAAAAAAAAATTATAGTAGAATGAAACCTATTGGAACAGGAAGACAATATGCTAAAAATGGAAGAAAAAATAAATTCCACTCCATCCAAGGTCGGGAAGTGGGAGGGGGTGAGTTTTTAAGGACAACAATCGGTTTATCGCGATTTTCGGCAAAACTACAAGTGCTATGGAAAAAAGTTAAATAGCAAAGTTTTAGGTAACGAAAAGTTCTACAACTTTTGTATTTACACTGTTTTCACATAACCTCAAAATTTTTGTGGAAAATTCAAAAAAACTATGTTTTTGATTTTTTATTTTTATCTTTTACAAAAAAAAATTTACGAAATTTGGTGAAAACTTGCCTTAGTATGTACCAAACACACTTTAATTTTTTGGAATTAAAACATTAATTTTTTTACCTGATATTAATTTAATATCGAAAAAGCACCCTAATTTTCAATCAAAAATTCACGCGTCAGAATATCAGCTTTTTTAAAAAAGTCAGTGGGCTTTTTGTTCGTTGAAATCTCTACTTTCCGATAGTGTAAAAAAATATACATTACTATGGCAAATACTATTTCCTCGTAGTGAAGAGAACTGAACAATCGATTTACCAAGAATCTGCAGGCCATAGAAAAAAATATTTTAAATAAAAAATGTAGCTGAGATAATTTTAAACAAACATATTTATAAGCACTTTTTGTGAAAATGAACCGTTCTCTCAGAAACAACGTTTGAAGCGACCGTCGATTTTTAATGACAACTACTCTTGCGAAATAAATATTTTTTTGATCAGTGTCCTATCGAAAACAATCAAAAAGTGTTTTAAAGGTGAAGAGTGTAACTTTTTATGCAATTTTGCATTATGTCGCAATTGAAGTCAGTTTCTATAAAAGTGTTGAATAAATAAATATTGCGCAATTATTGCCATTTTTTAAGATTCTAATGAGATCATTAAAAATTATCACTTTCATTAACCAGTCACTATGGAATTTCTACTGTTAAAGATCTTCAATCTTAAAAAATCTATGGCATGAAATCTTTGGCAACAAATTTGAAGCATTTGAAATATGTATAAAAAAGGCTTAATTTAAACTTTCACATTACAAATGATTGCACGTCACGGAAAATACTTCCTCGAAGACGGTATTGGATGAAATTTGTAGCTGAAGTTGTGTAGTACATGTACTTGTATAATCTAAAAGAAACAGTTTAAAATGTTTTATATCGTTTGTAATGTGAAAGTTTAATTTCAGCCTTTTAGGCATATTTCAAATGCCTTACATTTGTTGCCAAAAATCAAAACCAAAACTCCATGAGATTTCATGCCTTAGGTTTTGACCTGACCCTAATTGTGACAAAGTGCAAAAAATTGAAGAAGTAAGTAAATTGAATAACTCTTCATTTTTAAAACACTTTTTGGTTTTTGTCGATAGGACTCTCTGATTCACACTCTGATCAAAAGATATCGAATTTTATCATCGAATTGATAAAAAATTTATTTAAAAATAATTTTTTGGGCCTAGAAGACATTCAAAATCGCCAGTTGCTTCAAGGGTTGTTTCTGAGAGAATGGTTGATTTTACACAAAAAGTGCTAATAAACATTTAAAATTATCTCAGCTACATCTTTTATTTGAAATATAGATTCTTGGTAGATTGATTTTTTCAGTATTCTAGGGAACTTCGATATTCAACAAGGTAATTATTGTTGTGTGTGTGCATATGTTAGAACTATTGTAAATTGTTAAAATGTAAATGTAATGAGTATCTTAAATTCGTAATAGTAGAGTTAGTGAGTTTAATATATTACTAAAACAAAAACAAATGTAATTAATGCAATACCTTAAAACATGGTACATGGTAATTAATTTGAGACATAACAGTCAGGTCACTTGATTATGCTCGAGCCAATGGAATCGCTGCGATCGAGGATGAAAGAAAAGCTGTCCTCTTACGCTCACTCTCACACTGCAGTTTACCTATAGCGCTTTTTACTCGCACGCACATGTAATATTTTCGCTCATCTGGCAGATAAAAAATATCACAAAAATGACCTGTTTTTTTATAGAATATTTATTTTTAGTATTTCAAGTGTCACAATGCAGTTCTGTCTATCCAATAGTTCCTTGTTATTTCTTTGGCAACAACACAATTTCCCATATTTTGTAATTTGTTTTGAAGAATTCTGATTAATGAAATAGTTTACTATTTTCTAAAGTTCCCAAAAACTGGACCTCACTGACACAAAGACAGTGTAATAGTAATTTCTGACTTTGTGCATGACTGTTACTTTGTGCAACTGTTTCAATGTTTTCACCATTTTCCAGAAATATCCAATTAACCAATGAATAAATTTAATTATCTTAGTGGTTTCTTATTATGGTATTATGGTATTCATAAATAGCAATTTAAAAAAAAATAAAATATGTAGCAGTAATTGATTTAATTTAATTAATTTAAAAACAGGACTCAAACTAAACTGTTATGTTTTTTTCAGTAGCGCAACTAGAATTTTCCTGGGAAGGGGGAGTTTGTTTGGCCACCGAAATTTTTTTGTGGTACCTCCATTTTGAGTCCTTAAAATTTGTGAGTAACATTGTCGGAACAGTGCCCTGGAGGGGAATTTAAACCCCAAACCCAATTGGGTGTGCCATTGGTTTTTTTATGTAATGCCGTCAAAAACTGGAGGTACTGCAACCAAATGGCTTATTGTACGTTATTGAATGTTAAAAAATGAAATAAAAATGATTTTATGCGAAGTTTATACATATGAATTTTAATAAAAATTATTTTAAAATCAAGATAAATGAATGTAACCAATAGAGGTCTTTTGGAAATTCCAAAAAGAATTTCTATGTTCCAAAACTAATACAGAATTAACTTCTAAAAAAATAAACAACTTGTTACTCAATTAGTTTGGTACAGATGTGTTTCTTATAGGAATCCAGGCAAAATTTTAGCAAAAACTCCAATCAATACAATAATCTGTACCTAGACTTTTGATACAAAAAAATATTACTATTGCTGCATCATTTACTTTACTATTACTATACTGAAAATATAACAGGATCCTCTCAAAGAGGCTTTTTGAAAAATAGATCTACCATTGATCAAATATCATCCATTAGACAAATAGTGATAAGTATTAGAAAAAATGATAGAGTACAACATAGACTACCATTACGATTTTGTAGACTTTACAGCAGAGTAAAATACTGTTGATAGACCCCAATTATATTCTGCTATGATCAAATTTGTAATATCAAAAAGGAATGGTAGAACTAAAATGGCAATGAGGAAAGTCAAATGTACAGTGTGGGTGCAAGAGGATGTTTCAGAATCATTTAAAATTAACAGATTGGAAGAACCCTAAAAGAAGCAGTTGCAGCTTTTATAAGTATTAAAAATGCCACAGAAAACATGGGACTTGTAAACAAGACCCATACATGAAAACTTAATACATGCTGGCTATATCAAGAATGCAACAAAATACCATATAAAGTGTAACATGTAACTATCTGGTGGACTGCAAAAAAGACATCTAAAGAAATAAGAAAAAGATTATGCATGCTTAATATAGAAATAAGAAGTGTGTAAAGCAACAAAGTGCAAACTTTACAAAACAATAACATGCCCAGTATTCACTTATGGATCAGAAACATAGACAATGATGATACGAGATGAAGAGTTACTATGAATATTTGAAATAAAAGTATTGAAGCCATATATGGCAGAGTTAACAAAGAGAGTCTATGGAGAAGGCAAACTCTATAGAATTTTTGGTGGTGAAGATATTGTAAAAGCCATCAAAATAAATTGTCTAAGATGGGTGGGCCATGTTATGCAGGTAGGTAAAAGTGATCCTGCTAAAATAACTATGTTCAATAGACTTGTCAAAAGAAGAAGAAGAAGAAGGCAACCTAAACTCAGACATCTGGATGATGCGCAGGAAGATTTAAGGAGATTGGAGTGCAGGGATGGAGAAAGCAGGAACTTGATAGGGAAGGATGGAAGAATGTTTTGAGGCAGGCCAAAACTCACAAAGGCTGTAGCACCAGCTGATGATGATATTTGTTTTAAAAATTTCAAATATTTTCAAGGATTTTTAAATGATTAAGTACTGTTTCTTGTGTGAAATAAATGGCGACTTTCTATTACCAAAACAATGAAATTTATCACGGTTAACTAATCTTCTATTATCAAAAGTGGGTTATTCTATAAATAATACATTACAAAAAAATTGTACTTGTTACATCTTTATTCAAACATTAAAAAAACCTAATACGGTTGTGAAACTATTTTTTGTGATATTTTTATGTTATCTATTCTATTTAATAGTTCCTAACCATAATTTTAATTGAAAATACATTTATTTCGATGTTTCAACTTCTACTTCAGAAATCGTTCTCAAAATTCAGTGGAGATTGGAATGTCAAAATAAACACATTTTCAATTAAAATTGTGGTTAATTCTTATTAAATACAGTAGGCAAAAAGAAAAAAAAACAAGTTTAATAAGCCATAGTTTTTTAGCTACTGTGTATATTTCAAATTAATTTTAAAATCATAATTAAAAAGATTAGTTTCTCAATATTTATCAAATAGACAAAATCTAGACCAACCACGGACATATAAATTCCATGAGACCAACACATCCAAAAATAGGTTTGTAATTATTTTAAGTCTTATTTCTATGGTAAATCCCTAAGTATGTAAAATATTAAATTTCTGAACAGACTATAGGGAAGGGGTGAATATATATTTCTTAATACTTGCTCTGGATGCTTACCTATAGGTATCCTGTAATCGAGTTAAAGCTACAGCAGCACCATTAAGATCTTCGTCGGTAGGAAACAATCGGCTCTCCTTAAAATAGCTAATATTAGTTAAATAGTCTCTACTAATCTGTGATCCCATAAGATTCTCTAGTTCAGTCAAATCTGTGGTCAACCGCTTCACTAACGTATAGGCATTTATAGGATTCGAAACATACGTCTGAACATCTTCAGTAGCCCTATTATGTTGGATTTCGTATATGTCCGCGTATCGTTTCAATAACTCAACCTTTTGCTCTTCTGCTTTGATGTAATTTTTTAATGTATCTATAATAACTTTTTCCGTGTCCAGCAATTCTTCCAAATCTGCTAAGGCGGTAAAAACTTCACACGATACATAGGAAACACAAAGAAAAGCGAAAAAAGGAACTAGCAAATGGCACAACAACATATTTAGTAAATTTTATAAATATCACGTTTAATTATCAGTCTTCGATTGTTCCAGAAGCGAAATATATTCTGAACAGAGCCGCGACGTTGCGCCTACGTGAGAAAAACCTTGTCACGAATAATTGAGGAATGAAGTCAGAGATTTATAAAACACATGGTATATTATTACACCAATGCTCCTACTCTTTCAATCTGAAATACGAACACCCGATCCTCGATCCCAACTTTAAAGATTACATTACGTATTGTACAGTAAACAAAAACAGTAATCATCATTATCATTGCGGAAAATGTCAAATTGTACAGTGCGCTGCATAAAATACAAATATACCAAAGCACTACCAAAGATATTAGGTAATCCAGTGTTGCCACTTCTTATATAAAATAAAGATCACAATAAAGATATTATTTTGGTCTGACCATGTTGAAATGTCGAAAAAAAAACATATTTTTATGATATATGAACTATGATATTATTAAGTATTTAAAAAAGCACAAAAAGATTCTTACTGAAACAAAGAAAAAAGTCCAAAGTAGCGAAGAAGTTAGAGGTTTTATACATATTTATAGTGGGGCAGAGAAAGACAAGAGAGCACAGGCAAGGGTATAAATATTGATAAAAAAGGCTTAAAAGAAAACCTGAATAGCTGGGAACAAATCAATGAGAGAGAATGAGAGAATTATTAGAATATCTATTACGAAACCTTATCAGAACTCATTGAAAATATAAATAGCCACCAAGAAATTGTACTGGGACATTTTAATGCTTGCACAGAAAAAAAAAACAAATTACATAGTCGTAGGTAAATACAGAGATGCAAAAATAAATGAAAATGGGGAACATTTACTGTAATTCTGCGAACAGCACTCTCTGAAAATCGTAAACGGATTCTACTATCACAAAAATATACATAAGTATACCTAGGTCCAACCAACGAGAAACAATACACAGCTAGACGGACGATTGTGGAATAATAAAATAACAAAAGCAAGTAAAAGAAGAATTTATAAAACAATAATAGAAAGTATTGTTAAGTAAAAAATTAAGGCCATGAAAATGGACTATTGGAGACGATGTTGCACACACACACAATCACGCGAGGCGATCAACCCTACCCCTAGGGACATGTGTATACCACTGTAAGAGTGGGATCCACATGTCCGAAAATCAAACCGGTTACACCTCACTAGTTGAGGTGGTACCTATCTGACCCCCAGGCTTTTCCTCCACCCCTCCTCAGCGTGTGACTTACGTGAGGAGGCTTATGATCTGAATGTTACGTAAGGTGTCTTGGGTAATGAGACACCTTCTGTTTTTAATGACTGTGGTTAGGCCACCTAACTGTAGGGGTAGCACACATGTCGGCTTTTCTCCCTATTTAACTTTACTGACTCTATAGAAGTTACTCTAGCTTTACTTCGGGACTCATGTCCCTAAAAAGAGCGTGTGTTCCAGACAGAGAGCCATCGGTCTAGACCGACAGCTCTCTGTCTGGAAAAGAATGTGTGTGCTCGTTCACTCAGTCGCCGATTTGACAAAATAAAAATTTTGTTCTCCTCGCCGGCTGGGTGTTCGAGAAGTGAGTCCTGGCCACCGAGCCCATGCTTGCCGCACATGACCTCGATGCTCAGAGTCCGCGTTTGATCAATATTTGATCTGCCTGAAGGGCCTGTGCCTGCTGGCTGGTATAGAGTGCCTGACGGGCCTTTTATACATTCTTATTTTGTGTTATGTAAATTTTTGTGATGTAACGGATGTTCTTGTTTATCTTGAAGATGACATGACATTAATTAGACAGTGAGCGATTTTTGTTTTTTTTTTTAAACTAAGTCTATCTATGCTAATACCTTAACTATGGACCTTAACTATGGAGTGTGCATTCCCAAGTGTATAACGCTCTCACACACTCCGTGTATATGTTTTTTGTGTTTTTTGTTTTCCCTATTCTAATCTAAACCTAATCTAACCTAAGTGTGCGTGTGGTGGGGTGTGCATTCCCGGGTGTATAGTGCCTGCACACACCCCGGTGTATATTGTTCTTATATACTATATTTTTTTGGTGCTCACTGTCTAATATACTCTGTAGTCGGCTCTGTGTCTATCTCTTTCTTCATTTATCCTTCTTCTCTATATCCAAGTTGTTGCTTTGGCCGTTTATGTACCGTTCTAGTGTTTATGTCGTAGTTTGTCAACTCTCTTAATGTCCTGCTTGGATGATTTACGAGACCATTGAAAATGGTGTTTGCTCTTTCGTCCATTGTCCTTAAGATTCTTTTCTGTCCAGAGTACCTGAATAAATACCTCAGTGGAACGTATTGAGGTAGGTTCAGTGCTTCTCTGATTATCCAGTTTTGTGTTGTTTGGATTTTCTTCCTATTCGTTTGACATGTGTGTCCCCATGCGGCAGATGCATATGTTAGGGAGGGTAGTATTATACTATTAGCTACCCTCATTTTTGTCTTAAAGCGAAGTTTGCTCTTTCTGCCGATTAGCGAAGAGAGTTGACTTCTTAGTGCTTTTGCTTTGTAGACAGTTTGTTTTACGTGTTCCGTGAAAGTGAGCTTTCTGTCTAAAATGACTCCGAGGTATTTGGCCTCGTTCGTCCATTCTACAGGGGTGTTTTCTATAGTGATTTCCCTGTCTGGTCTCCTTATTCTGTGTCTGTACATAACGGCCTGTGTCTTGTCAGGATTTAGTGCAATTTTCCATTTTATGCACCATCTTTGGAACCTATTCAGAGCGCTTTGTAGGTAGCTGGCAGCTAGGTTTGGATCTCTACTGCTAGCTGCTATGGCTGTATCGTCCGCATATAGGCTAACCATAGTTCTCGGGTCTGTCGGAGTGTCAGCTGTATAGATAGTGTACAGATAAGGCGATAACACCGCTCCCTGGGGCACACCTGCTTCCAGGGTCCCCAATTCAGATAGGGTTGAACCTATTCGAACTCTGAACCTTCTGTTAGCTAGGTATGACGCAAGAAGACATGTCATCGCTTCACTATAGGCTAGGTTGCTCATTTTATAGAGCAGACCTTGATGCCATACCCTATCAAAAGCCTTACTCACGTCGAGGAACGCCGTTGCTGTGTACATCTTTTCGTTGAAACCTGTAGTGATATATTCTGTCAGCCTCAAAACTTGTAGTTCACATGAATGTTCGGTCCTAAAACCGAACTGAGCTTCTGGAATAGATCCCAAAGCTAGCGATTCTTCGTTTAGTCTATGTAATATGACTCTTTCCGCTATTTTGCTTACTGATGATAGTAAGCTAATAGGTCTGTAGTTTTGTGGAAAAGTGCCGTCCTTTCCTGGCTTTCCTATCATCATAACATGAGCTTCCTTCCATCTGTCCGGGAAGTATCTTAATTTTAGTATACTATTAATGATGTTTGTGATGTATACTACTCCCTTTGTTGGTAGGTTCTTAAGTGCTCTGTTACCAATGTTGTCCGGTCCTGGAGCTTTTTTAGCATTTGTCGCTTTTATTAGATTTTTGACTTCTTCGGGAGATGTATGTGTTATTCCGATTCTGCCCTTTCTTCTTTTTAGCCTCCTGACTGTGTTTTCGACTTGTATAGTGAAGTCGATGTCTTCGTGTGGATGTTCGTTGTTCCTGCATGCTTTTTCAAATTCATCTTTAAGGACTTCTGCTTTGTCTTGTTTAGTGTAGACAATTCCGTTTTCTCCGTGTAGTGGTGGGATGGGTTTCTTGTCTTTTCTTAACACTTTGGATAGCTTCCAGAAGCCGGATTTATTTGGATTTAACTCCTGGATATAGGATTCCCAGCTTTCACTGTTGTGGGCTTGTAGTTGCCTTTTCACTTCTCTGTTTAGCTCGTTTGCAATCCTTTTGTCTTCTTGTGTCCTTGTTCTGTAAGCTCTTCTTCTTTTCCTGTTTTTTTCTCGAATTAATTCTCTTAATTCTGGGCTGATATCTTTGAATCTTCCTTGTTTCGTAATAATTGGTTCTTCTTTTGAGCTGGCATCGATGGCATGGATTATGACTTGTTCTAATTTTTCCACACTATTTTCCAGCTCCATTATGTTATTAATAGTGGGTATCACACCGATGTTCTCGCTCACGATTCTTCTATAATTTGGCCAGCTGGTTATTTTCTTTTTTCGGGGCTCTAGTTGATTTATATCTATAGCTCCCAGGGTCAGTAAGATTAAATTATGTGTTGAATCGCCTTCATTTAATGAATGTATTTCATATTGTTGACCCACGTTGTGTAGGATTGCAATGTCGAGGTGAGTTGGTTCAGCTACTCCGTTGTAGCAAGTTGGATTCACTGGTCCTACCACATAAGTGTTGTTTTTTGTTTCGAGATAGCCACAGAGCCGTCTTCCATTACCATTGGTTCTCCTGTCGTACCAATTGGGTGATCTTGCATTAAGGTCTCCAATGATGATTGTTGGTTCTTCTGAGTCCAGGATGAGATTCAGATCTTCATCAAGGATAGGCTCATTAGGTCTTACATATGCTGAGACGATTTTTAGTGTCTCGTTTCCAGCGATAAGACGAACTATCGTGGCTTCCATGGTAACTAAGCCGCCTGGAGTTGGTATATTTTGATGTTCTATTCCTTTTTTGACCATAATGGCTGTTCCTCCCGAGTTTGCTCGGTGATCTGTCCTGTAGATATCATAGTCTGGGAATTTGGTCTTCTTTCTTTCCACTAATTTGGTTTCTTGAAGTGCTATGATATCTAATTCTAGTCTATTTGCAAATTCGTCAAGAAGATTTAATTTTGTGAACAATCCACCTGAGTTCCAAGACCCAATGCGAAGATCCTCCGACTGGTGTGCTAACATTGCTTACCAAAGCTGCTCATTGCTATCATTACCTGTGTAAGTTGCTCCATCATTGCGGAGACATGCGCCATTTTTGCGCTAAAATCGGAGTTAAAACTCGCAATTAACGCTGCCGCTTCTGTTGCAGCTGTAGAATTTTCTTCCTTGGCTGTGTTTCTGGTAGCCTGTGCATAGCTTACACCATTATTTACTGTGTTGCTGTTGATTGGTTTGCCTCTAGGTTGTGTTTTAGGGGCAGTTTTTCTCTTTGGAGCTTTGGAGCATCCACGATAGCTTGCTGTGTGTGCACCTTCGCAGTTTGCACATTTTGGGTTCCAGTTTTCTGTGTCCATATTGCATTCACTGCTTAAGTGTTCTTGTCCACACTTCA